CCGATCAGCACTTTCGCCTCTCGACAAGGAGCTGTTAAAAAAAAATCCCCCGTCGCCTCCAGCCCCCTCCGCCCGCTCTCCGGTTCCCTCCCGGAACCGGAGCACGGCGCAGTGCCGTGAGGGTCCCCGGGGCGTGCGGGGAAAGTGCGCGGGGAGGCGGGGGCGCCTCAGGGCAGCGGCGGGAAAGGTCCCCGAGGAGGGAAAAGCTCTGAGGGGGAAAAGCCCCCAAGACGCTCCCGGGGCCGCCGGTGGTCGCCGCTCTCGGGGCCGGGGCTGAGGAGCGACGCTGGTCCCCCCCAGCCATCACCGAGCTGTCGCTTGTTTCCCGCTAAAGAGTGAAAGAGGTGGTTAATTTCCCAAAATGCTATTTAAAAAGGTGATTCTTCCAAAAGGGATGTTACTGGAAAGATGAAATCTCACTGCAGTCAGTACAGTTGCTGTAATCTCAAGCTTTATCCCAATAAAAAAGCTTTTTGTGCTATATTAATACTGTTGGGCTTTTCTGCAAAGTGTTCATAAGAACGTTACAAAATGCTGATTAACAACCTTTATTTAAAATTATTCCTAAAAGGTCTTTTAAGGAGACTGAACCTTGAAAATTAACGCTGTATCATTTATGAGCATTGTAATTTGGGAGCCATAAAGATGTCCCTGCCTCTCATCCTATCAGAATTAATTTTAAAAACCCATAAAACTTTGATTAAGCCTTTAAAATTCAGTAGCTATACTGGCTAAAATTCTTCCCTTTAATGTTTCTATTGCTTTTTCTTGATAATCCTGTTAGGAAAATTAATCCACAAACACCAGAGGTTTATGTCCAAAAAAGGAGACAGGGGAGTCCTTTTACTTTATTTGAATAAAGGGAGAGGCCATGGGGCATTCTCCTGGGGTCTCCCAAATTTTTGGAGGGCGCAGCCTCCCTTTTATCCTAATTCCCGTCTGTATGTCCCTTCTCTCTTTCCCCATAGGCTGAGGTACTTGAGAGGTACAGGCTTCCCAGAACGCCTGATACCTGGGATACCCCCTCCCAATGCACAACCCTTCTTAATTCTTAATTCTTGTTGAATTTTATGGTGTTTCCCCAGTGTCTCTTTCATCTTTCAGTGGAATCCACCCCATTGTTTCTGTTATTTCTCAGTGATAGCTTCATATTATCAGCACAGCTTGTTTGTAAAGACAAACCTGTCATTCCTCTCAATCCTTAACAGACTCCCTATCACCTTAACTCATAATCCCTAACAGAATTAAGCCATTTTAACAACAAATACTAGTGCCTATGCAAAAAAAAATAGAAAATCAACAGTTAATTTAATAAAATATATGAAACACCAGAATCACAAGGGTTAGATGAGAAATTGAGATATTTAATTAAAGGCACACAAGAACTGGATGCCAAAAGGGGCTAAGGATGGTTTTTTCCAGTGCGTTGGCTTTTTGTGATCTCCACAAGTGCCAGGCAGGTGTGAAGCCACTGGTACAGGTATTCAGCTGGAGCAGAGTTCTGCTGCCACTCTGCTGCTTGTGGGACACCTGGAACAAAAAAACAGGTGTAAATACAACAGGGAAAGTCAAAACCATGAGGAGTGTTGCTGCGAGAACAGATCATCCCCTCAGCAGAGTTTACCCTGAATCCAGTCATTCCAGTAATGGTGATGCCTTGAAAAGCACACAGCTGTATCATGACCATGACCTGTCAAGTGCTGACTTTTTTTGACTATATCTTATTTTCTGGTGGGTGCCCTGCTGTAAAAAGTGGTCTGCTAAATTTTAATGCTAAACCATCACTTATGTATGGAACATAAAGGACCTGATGTTAATTTTAAAGGAATTCCCATAACTGTGAGTTATACCTGCATTCACACCTCTCATCTGACACTGCTCTCTCACAACAGGTTCCATCCTGGGAAACCAAACTCTCCTAGCACACCTGCAGTTTCCAAAGCTACATTCTTTAATCTAATTACATCAGCATCCTTAACTGTAGGAAAACTGGATGCTCTAGGCCTGTTTTGTTCTTTCCAGTGAATTAGTTTAATATATATGAGGAGAACACATGGAAATGAACTATGACTGCCTCGAGTGTTTACTCTTTATCAGCAGGCAGGGTACTGTTGATAAATATCCCCACCTAAAGTAATAACTCTTGTCCACATTTGGCTTTTAACAGGCCTCTCAGACTGGTATTAGATCACGAAGAGAGAGCTGTCAACAAGAACAAGTAATTTCTCTTACGGAGATATTGCAAATAATAATAACAACCTCTTGACTACTCTGGCACCAAAAAAAGCTCACGTTCATTAAAGGAGAGAAAGACAGACTGAGAAACAGCTCCTGTCTATGGCCTGTGAGTACATTAAGCACTTGGCAGATGGTGTTTACGAAGAGGAGGGCTCACAATGTGTGCTCCTGTTTGGAGATGGGTCAGTCTCTAGGGCAGGGCACAGAGGTCTGAAGCAGCTTTTCTTGCCAAAAGAACCCTCGTTCTTCATGCTTATTGGAGGTTTGCAATGAGATCACTTGTTCTGGAAGGCTTCAAAGCTGATCTGCTCCCCTTTCCTGAAGGCAGTGAATTTTGAGTCTAAATTTAACAGGTTGATTTCTATTGACCAAAAAAGACTGCAGATATTTAGGACCCATTATCTGTTGTTTAATCTATTGTGAAATCAAAGTTAATTTCTCAAGTAAGGCCCTTAAAAGCACTTGGCTGAGCATTGCCATTGACACAGTTTCATTGTTGAAGCGTGCCTGGTAACCTCAAAATGAGCTTATGATACTCACCAGTGATGAGGTCCAGCAGCAGCTCTGCTTTAACTTGCACGGATGAAGCAGTTGGATCAAAGCAATAAACCTCCTGAATCAAATTGTCATCAAGTTTCTGCAATGCAGAGAACAAAAACATGAGGGTGTTTGTGAAAAGCTTACAGAATGAAAAATAGATGAGAAACATATAGGAAATCTATAGGTAATTAATTATTTCACTGTCATTTCCCCCTTGGCAAATTCCACTGCATCTTCTTGGAGGAGGAAGAATAGAAAACAAACTTTCAACAATTTGAATTCTCACCAGTTTACACTGATTCCAGCTCTCAGTCTCCTCTGAGCCCTTCCAGTCTGGATGCAAAAGCAGCAGCACAGCCTTAACTACATCATGTACCAGAGCTGGGGGTTCTGCACAGCTCTTTATTCCAGCAAAGCTCTCAGCATTGAGTTTCTGGAAACATTCACGCAGCTCCTGCAGCATGAACCGGTGGAACAGAATCCCTGCGTGCCTCACATTTGCCGCTCGTTCTGCCTCTGCAATCAAAAACAAACCTCTCAAGAAGCTGCTCAGAAACATCTGCTACTCAGGACTTAGGTTACTAACAGTCTGTGTGCTAGATCCCTAAGGGCAGCAAGGTGTTTGCTTCACACTTTTGATTTTGGCACAAAGTACCTTGTGAGCCAAAATTTAAATCTGCCCATTTGGTTTATCTCTACTCTGCTAGGCTCTGAGACTTGCTAGGGAGTAGTTTATATATACCAAGGATTTTTATTTGTCTTTCCATACTTGTAGGAATGATACTTTTAATATAGTTTTACTGAGAGTCCTTATTTCACCACAAAAAACTATCTCACATATGTATGCACAATACCCAGCACTTGTGTTGGTTGTGTTTCCTCTAGAGACCTCTGCAGGATCTCCGAGCAGGCAGCTTGGGCCATCTTCAGCATTTTCTGCAGGTCTTTCTGTTCCCGGCATGGTAATTTCTTGTGCTGTCCAATGCTGATATCAAATATGCCAAGAGTTTTTCTTGATAGGTCATGAAGAGGTACTGCAATATGGTGTTCTCCATAGACAGAAGTGAGAGTGACCTCTGAACTGTCTGTACACTTGAACAGGTAATCTCTGAAATGAAATGTGCTAGGATTTACCATCCTGGTTTGTTTTGGTTGATTTACTTAGTGTATTTAAGATTACATTAATCTCTTGTTGTTAAAATAAAGGTATTATATTATTGAATTATAGTTTGTTTCCTTGAACTGAAATTTGCACAGAGTAAAGTATCATTCAAGGCGTGTACACAAAGGAAATAAATAGCATTGTGAACACAATATTGCTCAGCCAAGGTAATTGCTGAAAATAATGAGAATTTAACAATTCTTGATTTAAAAGCAGTTTGCTGTTTCTAACTGCATTGATGTTTGTTCTGGACAGTTTTATGAAAAGTAAAACAGCAAATGGCTGTTCAAACTTTGACAGCAAGGATGATATGCTTAAAAGACAAGTCTGTGGGGATCTTGGCAGTGGAAGGAAACAGAGAATTGAAGGAAATGGGACTAATATGTCAAGGAAAAAATACAGATTATTCTAAAAAGCAAAATGGATCAGTGTAAGCTATAATCCTGCAAACCTTGACAGCTGGTAAGCATTAAGTCAGAAGTTTTTGCAGCCTAAAGTCAAAGAGAAAATACTCCTCAGCCGTTCACAGTTCAGTGCCATGTGCACACACACCAGAAACCTTGATAGTGAGAGAGATTTACCCAGACACTCTCAGGGCTGCAGTACCAGGGGCTTCAAGTGATCTGGCTCAACCTGATGCAGGTTGAGTCAAGGAGCAGAGGGGACCAGTCCCATTGCAGGTGCTGGAGCCTACCTGAGGAGGTCTTCGTTTCTGAGGAGAACAACAGGAGAGCTGTGGATTTCCTTTTGGCCTGTGTTATCTGTAGTGATCACCCTGCACAGAGCATAGTTCTGCCAGAGAGAAAAGAAAGGTTTAGCTGCATTCAAAAAAGGAACAGATATTTTGAAGTGTGGAGAGAGAGGAAATGGTTTCTTATAGAAAACTCCCAGGTACATTCAGTAGCAATGAGATTGTTTAAAGACATCTTCCAACACAGCTTAGTTTTATTCCCAGAGATGGGTGAAGAATTTGCCCTGGACCTCCCTCAGCCTGACTATTTAATCCACCCCAGGCTCCACACTGAGAAACACCCATAAGCCTAGAGGTTTCCATTCTTTTTCTCATCCTCTTGCAGTCCTTTCTCATGTCATGTTTGTGTCAGTGTGCCTTGACACATGAAAAGAACAGAGGGGAGCGAGTGACCTGGCTATCAGGCAGCTAACAAGGGAACAGTGCTGAGCCTGGAATGACAACAGAACACTGCCAACATAAACCATGGTTATGAGAGGAAGCAGCTGAATTATGACTGCAGCAGATGTCATGCAGACTTTGGGATGACATGGGATCAGTCCTAAATATTGCATATACTTTTTGTCTTCTTAACTCACTGGTACATGAAGTAACAAGCTTTCCAGGGCCCAAGTGCCTGCTGAACAACTGGAATATGTCCTGCATGGAGCAGGGCTGCCTTTACAAGCTGGCTAATTGGGAACCAGTCACTTCCTGAGCTGAATTTACATCTTGGCTGCTGACATAAGTTCAGAACAAAGAGCTAATACATTTCTGTAACATTCTCTTTTTCCTACAAAATACCATGATTTTGACAGGCAGAGGATCTCCAAAGAGATGTATTTCCCTTAGTGGAAGTCCCAGAGAGCAAAGCTGGATGTATGGATGGGTGTGGGATTCTTCTCTATTGGTTGCTATGCAGCAGTGAGCACTGAAGTAGAATACTCCTTTTTCATATGGAGAAAGGGTTACACTAGCAGTGCTCTTGAATTCTTTTGCATGGGAGGATGAAAAGAATGAAGAGGGAGCTCCTTTACAGAGGGAATCTTCCTTCTCTACCTTTGTAGCCCTTGTGTTGCATGAGCAGGCACAAGAATCTTGTGTGGGCTTCAGCTTTAATGATAAAACCACTGGAAAAACACAGACAGCTGGAGGTGGCACTTCCTCTCTAAAGCAGCCTTTCAGTCCCTGAAAATTACAGACCTTTTCTCTGCATTACCTTGTCTTTGCCAGGTGTCACCAGATAGGTTGTGACAGTGTGGATGCTGGGTGTCCTGGGATACAACCAGTCCAGAGCAGTGACAGCCACTTGAAGGACGTTTTCCCGCATGCAGATGTGGTGGTAGGCTTTGCTGAATGCATGGCAAACTCCCTGTGAAAGCAGAATCCTCCAAGTGAGCCAGACAATTCCACACAATTTGGGAGAAAAAAGCTCCCATGTTGTAACAAATGTTCATGTTGTAACAAATTGGTTTAATCAGAATTTGTAAAGTGGAAAAGTGACTCTGAAATGTCCCTTATCAAATAATGCCCTGAAGTACTCAGTACCTGGTCACAGCCAAGTCCTTAACGAGACAAAGATGATTTTTAGTGGAAATAGCCAAACAGATAGGTAAGGTTGGCTTGCTGTACTCCATGCTGCCCAGGTGATGCATCCACAGTGAAGCTGATCCCAAAGAGCATCCCAAAGAAATCTGGGTGGCTGTCACTTAAAATTATACCACCACGTAAAAAGTAAAGTTTCATGTCATATTATAGAAATGAACACAAACATGAGATTGAGAGTTTCAAGAAATAAAAGCTGCTATCTTTGGACTTTGCACAAAAGGTCAATTAATGTCCTAGTCAGGAGAAGGTTAAATAAATTATTGATGAAGTGATACCTCTTAATAAATTTCAGATAAGATGCTAATCAGCAGGATACTGATAAGGTGCTGTTCTTACACCATTTTCACCATATACTGCAGAAGGGGACCCACCAATATTTTTTTAGTTGTACATCTTACATTTACTCAGAAAAAACATGTAAAATTCACAAGTCTTTTGCAGGTTGGAGTAACAAACTGCTTCCTGATGGTGCCCACCTCATAGAAAGTGATCTCATGGGTCAGGAAGATGGACTTCTGACTCTGGTCCTGAAGAGTGTCAAGTCCTAGAATACCAAAAACTCTCCAATGAGCATCATACAGGGGCAGCACCAAGAGTGAACCTTTCCTCTCCTCCTTTTGGTCAGGGTTCCAGAAATGAATGTTTCCGTGGTGCTGAACTCTTGGAACATAGATTGGCTTTCCCTGATCAACGGCTGCAAAGCTAAAATATAAATTTATGAGGAAGTTTGTCAGGAGGAACAGAAAACCTTTAGTGAAACAGTAAATACTGCAGCTTTGATCTCTCCCTGTTTTTTGGCATCAGAGAAGAAAAGTGTGAGCTCCATACCCTGACCACACTCAGCAATACCACATTTACCACTTGCATCCCCAAGGCAGTGCTAATAAAGAGGCACTTTTCATCCTTAGGACATTGTAAAAACATCAGCTAATGAATGGAATGAAAAGGAATACAGAAGCAAGCAGCAGTTACATTTAATAGGTTAGAGGCAGCAATGTTTAAAGAGACAAATATGTCTGGCTTTTGGAAATGACAAGCAAAGAAGCATGAAAGCTGTTTATAGTGTAAACACTAGGGGAGCAAAGGCATTGTTCTCCAAAATATCCTGTGGATATAAACTGGCATAACAGAATTAATTTTTAAAGAAGAAAATGTAGGCCCAATGCCTCAGACATTTGCTAAAGGATGAGATTTATTAGACTGTGAGCTAATCTCCCCAAGGAAAGGAGTGAAATCCCAAACAGAACAGTTCTAAGCAGACCATGCAGCGTATAAGGACATGTATAGGATATTGGATCATTCCACAACAGTCTCTTGGGTGATTTCCTCTCTGGAGTACTCCATCAACTGCAGTTTCCCGTGCATCCCAAACACTGCCCCACACATTCCAAACAGTCTAGAGAAAATGAAACAGGTATTTGCAGCTTTTCTTACCTGACTCCTTTCATGTCTCTGTGCAGTACTTGGTTTAGGACATAGGGAGCATCATCTGCGGTACAGGCCACGTAGCGCAGGACAGCCTGGCCCTGCTCTGGGGAGAGCTTGTTCTCTTCCAAAAGGGCAATATATGCACTGATCCTCTTGTTATCCCCATGGGCTTCCATGTCCTAGCAACAAAATGTTCCCCATTACAGTCTGTACATTAGCCACTGTCACTTATTTAATGGACTTAGCATTTGTTTAATTTTTGCTGAGATGCTGCTCTGGGTCACTGAGTTTGTGTGTTATCAACCCCATGACGTGGCTGTGTCTCTGCTGTGGCTGTGTCTGCCCAGTGCACTCTGTGACAAGCACAAACACTTGGTATTTTGATTGGAAAGGGAAACTGATTTCCTCTTTCCTGGTGCTAATGGGGAGGAGTAAATAGAAAAAGAATCCCTAATTATAATCTGTGCCTAAGAAAAAGCCATATGGATTTCTTTTCCAATAGGAGATTCCTTTAAGAAAAAAACAAGTGCCAGAGTTGCCACATTTACAAACCTAGGCAATACTGCAAGAACACTTCAGCTACACTGAGAGAAGTTTGACTTTGAGGAGGACTTTAATGGTGAGGAAAACCAGCTAAAGTTGCAGCTGTAAATTAAAAATGAAAATATTTTCACTACAAATTAAGCATCTTTGTCCCAAACTGACTCTGGTGTGTTTCATTGCAGAAGCTCCAAAACTATGAATATGGATTTCTGACCTGAGTCAGCTCTTCCATAAGCGAGACAAAATTATCCATGAGATTCTTTCAGCAGAGCAAGGATGCCTACCTGGGTCAGAGCCTTAATCACTGCTTTGTACACTGGTTCCATGCTTGTTCCGCTGGTCTCAGCCGCTTGCTGGATATCCTGCAGCCATTTCCTCCTGGCTGAGCTTTGCAAGCTCTTGGTGTGACTTTGTTCCACACTTGTGGTCAGGAATCTCACCAAGTTATCAATAGTTTCATCCTCATTGCCAGTGAACTTGGAAGCAATTAACTCAAGGAGAGTCTGGAATGCCTTTGGGGATAGCTTCCCCACTCTACTGAGCTGTGGGTATTGGGAGCAAAGCTGTTCCTTTGCTAGTAGAGAAAATAGAAAATAAGACGGAAAAATCTAGTTGATTAATCAGTTTTTCAAAATACAAATCAAGACCTAAACAGGGTTTGGGTTGCAGTCCATTCAGCCCATCCTTCTAGGTTTCTTTCAGCTATCTTTCCTACGTGGAAGTGGTCACACTGGCAGGTAGTCTCCAGTTTCCAGACTGGACGCATCCTTTTCTCTAGATGCCTGCTTCCCTCCTATGAGCAAGAATCCCGCACAGCCCTGGTGTCTCCCCTGGTGCTGCTGAACTCTGCAGCCGGTCTGTCAGAGCTGTCCCAGCGCGGCGCAGGCTGTGCCCAGCCCCGGCTCTGGGCTCACGGGGGTGCTCTTGCCCAGCCTGAGGAACGTGCAGGCGCTGCCTGGCTCCCGCAGCCTCTGGTTCACGGCGCCTGTGTGACTGATGTTTCCATCATTTTTTCTGCATCCCGTTCTCAAATCCTGCTGGACCCGAAGATGTCCCTGCTCATGGCAGGGTGTTGGACTAGATGATCTTTACAGGTGCCTTCCTATCCAAACCATCTTATCATCATGACCACAGATTTTAGCTGAAGAATTAGCAAGTACTAATTTGGCCCCAGTCATGGTGGGGCCATGATGCTTAATGCTGTCTTATCCAGCCCATCATATAAGGAAGTTCAGTATTCTAATTTAATTTCTGATTTTCTGATAGAACTGGGATGGAGAAGCTTTTGATAATATAAAATGTTTGGACTTTTACCTCTGCTTTCTCCTCACTTTGAAGAAAGGGATGCAGAAAAAATACACATGAAGTTGCATGTGGTATGATCACTTCCTTCACTACTCAGCCACAGCATAATGAATTATTTTCCCCTTTATATCTAATGTTACACTTTTTACTTGCAAGGACAATCAAATAATTCTACTCACTTTTTACTCTCTGTTTCCATTTAGGAGAAGTGCAATGTCTGTGAACCCTTCCCAAAAACCTGCTTGTTCCACATCCTTGAGAGATTAGGTTGAGGCTGCTAGAAATAGTTCATGTCTCTGGTAGGTGGTATTGATTTTGCTATGCTCCATTTCTGTTTATTTGTCCTTTAGTTTATGAGCCCTTCATGGAAGGGACTGTGTCCTTCCATATTTCCATGGTATGTTCTGGCATGCTTTGAATACAAGAGAGAAGTGAGCTGCCAGTTTCTCCTGGCTGGACAGCCTGGAGATGATTAACTGTGACATGCTGGTGTGCTCCCCACCTCACCAGCTGCCTCCAGTAAGCTAAAGGATAAAGAGATTTTGGTGGTTTCCACAGTGAGCCATTTTTAGTGATTTGCAGCAGAACAAGCCACATGAAGACAAGCAGGGAGATGAAAAAACCAGTCCTTTCCACCCAAGCACGTATGCAGACATGTTCTTAATTGCTAATACAGTGTTTCAGAGCACTTTATGCCCACATGTTAATATGTATGAGGCTGTCAGACAGGTTCAGGTGAACCTGCAGCACTTCTGCTGGACCCGAGTCTTTCCTATCAGGACCAAATTTGCTAAGCTTATGCAGTGAAATAACCAACAGAGAAGTGATACTCGAAGCTGCTCTGTAATTCATGAGAGCTGTGCGACAGTGTGGATAACTTCAGGCTATTTGAGATCCATAAGAAAAGCTGTTCTCTCCTGTGAGGTACATTCCTGCTGGAAGCGGAGTAAAATGTATCTATTAAAAATAGCTAGATAACACAGATGGACTGGACTAAAAGTGCAAACATGTCTTCAGGTTGTATGTGTGTTTTTTCACTGCCATATCACATGTATACATTGCATGTTACTGCTGAAATAATTTTTAAACTCATCCCAGTGTCATTAAAACATTGGGCTACTTCTCTATCTGGGAATTTTGCACAGGAGAAAGGAATGGAGCAATGCATTAACAAATAGGCCTGGGTAACTGGGTTCCTTTCCATTTTATACCTCATACTGCTTATGACTACTTGCAGAACCAAACTGGTGCTTGCAACAACTTCATTGACCCTGTCACTGTGAATGGTTGAAGGCCTCCTTGTTCTCACAGAGCAGAGATTATTCCTTACCTTTCATCAAGGCCTCTTTTCCCACGTCTCCCTGGAATGTGCTCAGAACAGCAACCACCTCTTCCAGGTCCAGAGACCCACATGCATTGCTGTCCCACTTTTCAAAAAGTGCCTCCAAAAGCTGTTTCCTTTGGGCCATGTGGGCCATGTGGTGAGCCTGCAACAGAGGAACAGTTGGTGTTTGGTAACTCCTGGACATCGATGCTGGACACTACACAGATGAGGATACTACACAAGTGTGGACACACTCTGCATGGTTGAACCAATCACATCATTCCTATGGTCCAGGCCAAATCTGTACATACATGGCTCAGGCCTGGAGATGAATCACTAAGCCTGGGAGATAACTTAGAAACACTAAACCCAGGTGACAGTTCAATTTACCAGGCAGGACCAGCACTGCAGAGAGTTATTTCACAGTGGACAAATGAAGAAGGTGCAGGATTTAAGATGAGGTCAGCTCATGTAAGTGCAAGTTTCCCAGAACACAAATGTCTCCCCAGCAAGAGCTAACCACAGCCTTGTCTGTGACACCCTGGGATGTGACAGTTCATTTTTCTGTACAGTTATTTTGCTGCTGCTGCCCTGAAGTGTGTGGGCTCCAAGCAAATACATATTACTATTTGGCCACTAAACCCAGCACAGAGGGATAAATGGCTGAAGCAGAACTCTCTCAAAGGCCAAACTACTGGCAGTGTGTGCTGTGTTCAGTGAAGACTATGGACGTCAGATCCAATATCTCATTCAAATTAGGTCAGCAGCACAGAGGGAAAACAGAAAAGAAAATATAGCTAGAGAAATGCACCACAAAACAGACCTGAAGTGATATGAGGCACCCTGATGCTGGGCATGAGGAAGGGGAATATTTTTTTTTCCAACACATGGCAAGAACACCTTGTAACTTAAATGCAAAGAAACTCATGGACATTCACATCCAACCATGCACATAGCAAACTCAAACATCCACAGCCTCCTATGTACATGCCAGTGCAGTAGGTCAGAGATCAGGTTCTTGGCTATTATAAAGGTGAATAAGCAGAATGGAATGTTTTGGGCTCTTTCACAATTAAATATCAACTCTTGTCTCACTGACTCCGGCTCTAGGACAGACAGACAACCTCTTACAGGATGAGTCTGTCATCACTTCCAGAGCTGAGGGCTAGGGAGGGAGCATCTGTATGAAAACAAAGGGGTAAAAGGTCTCATGAAGGAACAGAGGATGCGAGGCTGCAAGTGGAGAGCTCTGCCAGCATCAGATTAACAGTTGACTTTGTTAAGTGTCTGTGGGCATTTGCTTGGTTTTTGTTTGGACATGGGATCAGCAAAACTTATCAATATTTACTTTTTCTAGTTGTTTCATTTTTTCCTCTTTTGTCTGTTTGTATTCTCCTTTGATAAATGCAGCGAGCCTCTTCACAGTAGGCAGAGGAATGTCTTCACCAACGAAATTGTCCATGAGCTGTACAAACTGTGGCAGGGTGAGGCAGCTTGCAGCAAAGGAACTCTTAGTACAAGAATCCTTAGAGTTCTGAATCTCTGCCACACTGGGACCTGAGTCTGAAAGACAGAAAGCACAATGTGTCACAAGAAGCCAAATGCTGCCCTAAAGCCAACACGTGGCAGCTATCAACACAGCCCTCAATCCTGCACTTCCTATCCAGGGAAATTACGGCTGAATACAGACTGACTCCATGCTGAGTAAAGGCCTTAATCTGCTTATACTGTTCTAATAGTAGCTCTGCAGATCCAGTCTGGCATGGATGCCATCCTCCAGCCAGGTCAAACCCTGACTACAGGTGAGCTGGAATTGCTGTTACTCAGCAGGGGGCTGTCTGAGACAAAGACCTCATTGAGGGACTGCTGTCCCAGACAAAAAGGATGCACATCCAAGGACTGACTGAAGGACAGGGTAGTGCTGTGCACTGGAAGTTACCACAGAAAGCTGTAGGTACCAGGGGGCTGTACCATCATCTTTACAACCCTTGACATAATGCATCTGTCGCTGGATTACTCAGACGATGTAGACCCAGTTCTTGTAGGGTTCTAAACTGTGAGACGTAAGAGTGTTCACAGAGTGCTAGCAAGGAGGTTGGCCCTTCTAGGATGTTTAAGAAAATGCCTCTTTGAAACACAGTTGTCTGATCACAGCCTTCCTAGAACAAAGGCCTTTGTAGACAATGAAGTAGGATCATCCTTTGAAAACACAGTGAGAGATTAAAATAAAAGGCTCCTGCTAGATGATCTCATAGCACATCTCCCTATAGGCAGTCACAGTCTAAAAGTTATTTAAGTAATTTCTAGATTTAATGTGCTCAGGTTCCTGTCTTGCTATAGTAATATTACAGAGTGAAACAGAACATAAAGTTTCTCCTTATTATAAAAATGCTGCTGCTTCACAAAGTCCCTGCTTGAATTAAAATGTCTGCTCAGCACCTTGAATACAGGTCACCAGCAAAGTGACTCACCTGCCATCCTATGAGAGGAATAAGCTCTGAAACCTTAGCAGAAAACACCATGCTGAGATGGCAATGCTTATGGTCTTCTCTACTCAGAAATTACTCACATGGTTTTGAAATGGATTTAAAACATCCTGTAGTTAAACCAGTCCAAATATATACACTGAAAATTATTCAGGTCTGTCAGAAAAAAGGAAAACACTTTACCCTGGCCATGCAAGAGCTCCTCATCCTGCAGTCTTGTCTCTGAGGTTGGCTGTTGGTCCGACTGGCTCTCATTGCTTGCAGGTGTTTCTTCCACAGGCTCTGCAGCTGGAGCGTCCTGTTGGGAATCGGTGACATCCGTGTCCATCATGGCTCTGTCTCCTGAGGCCGTGGTTGTAGCTTCAGGTGCTGTCTCTGTAACTCCACTGTCCTCTTGACTAACTTGCTCTTCTGATCCAGGTTCTCTGGCTGAGGTACAATCTCCTTCTGGTTTTGTTTCCATCTCAGGCTCTCTGCCCAGTATGGATTCCTCTGGTTTTCCAGATCCAGGTTCTCCATCTGTAGTGACAATGCTCCCAGCAGAGGCTGATTCTGGGAGAGCTTCATCCTGTCCGTCTACTGTTCCAGGCTCAGCTTCCCTCTCAGTTTTGGTATCTTCATGGGATTCGGTGTCCTCACAGGATTTCTCACTGTGGATGGTATCTCCATCCAAATCAGTAGCTTCAAGGCCAGTGCTTTCCACTGCTGACACAGCATCCTCGCCTTGCTTGCTCTCTTCAGCACCACTTGGCTCTGCTCCTTCATTTTCCTCCTTGGAAATTCCTCCAGTTTCAGCTTCGCTTGTGCCCATTTCTTCAACAACTCCCTCTGCAACACTGCTGCTCATTCTGTCAGTCCCTTGGCTATCATCATCTACAGGTTCATTTCCTAAAATCTCTCCCTCAGAAATTTCTGTTTGAGACAAGACCAAATTTTCACTGAGTTCCTCACAAACCTCCTGGTCACCAAGGCTTCCCCAGAAATCCATAAGATTAATATCTTGCAGCTCAATTATTGGCCCTAAAACAGAAAAAAATATGCGTAAGCTGATAGTTTGCACTGGTTTTATGTTCTCTAGTATTGCATTAGAAAATTTAAACAAAAAGGGTAATGCCAAAGAAATACAAACTACCAGAAAGTGTCTTCTGCAAAGACACATCTCAGGAACACAAAACTTCAGCATAGTGTCTTTGCCTGCAGGGCTCTGCACTTCTGGCTATGTATTAGACATGACACTACTTTTCCTTTAAAAAAAATATTTCATCATTCTCTACACTAAGAAGGAAAGAAGGAAAGATTCGCCTTGCATTTGATCTCAGCAATTAATTAATGTCCAATATATTTAAAATATTTTACTTTCATGCAGATGATTCCCTGCATTTTTTCTTTTTCTTTCTGGAGGTATTTTAGTGCAAACAAAAAATTAACTTCTAATATGCCCAGTAAGAAAGAACAATTGTTTCAGAAAAATTCTACTTCCCAAAAAGTACTTCAAAATTTTGTAGCAAGGAAAACTTATGGATGCCAAAGCATTTCGGAATATTGCATCACATTTTGCAAAATATGCTTGCAAATTCTGGTGTATAGGTCACAGCACTCATTTGGGTCCTTTTTTTTGGGCTCTGTTCATTTCTGGTAACACGTATAAAACGTATCTGAACCATCAAGCCTTGTGTGGAGTCCCAGTGTTTTAACCACAACTGAAACATCCCATGTGCTTACATTCTCTGGGGTTCCAAAATTCCCCCTCATCAGTCACAGGGCTTCTGTCGTAGAAGTCTCTTAGTAGGGCCAGTATTTTTTGTCTATCCAAGGCACCAACCTAGACAAAAAAATTACAATTATTGGGTTTTTCCTGTGGTTCTTGTGACTTACATCAACATCTGTAGCACTACAAAGGCACCATTAGCCAAGAATTACCTGTGACTGGTAATTATCCATTACCAGAACATCACTACAAATTTCAAAGAAGTTAATTTATTTCACAGAGGCAAAAATTTCTTCTGGGCTGAGCTGTAACTCCCCACACATATTACTTTGCAGGCTCTTCCTCTTCTATGTCCTTGACAAATTACAGTGAGATAATTGTAACTGTTCTGCCAAAGGAGTTTTTCGTGTGAAGATCAAAGCTTCAACATTTCATACTCTCAGGACAGATATTGATTGCCTGACAGTACCATGGAAGAATTTTCATGTATTATGGATTGTGCTGTGTTACCTTAGTGACTGCACATTGTAGTTTGGTTTTGTGCCCCGCCATCTCCTTTGAAGTGTGATGTATTGGCCTGGAAACATAATTAGTCCAAAAATCTGAGCTATTATGACAACTTCCCTAATTTCCTTTAAAAATTCATAGACATTTGACCACAGAGGTGAGAGAGGTATCAGCAGTTCTAGTGCAGAGGAAGGTGCAGAGTTTATTAAATCCTTGTTGCTCAGCGTGAATGTACACAGAGGATAAACCCAGGAAAAGGTAATGCAATGGGTCATTTCCAATCAGGAAATTGTGGGGTTTAAAAAGTAAAGCAAACCTAAACGATTGCAAGTTTTCCATTTTATGATGTATTCCTGTTGTCATTATTTAAACACCACCTTTGTAATCTCCCTCCCATTAGTGAAATAAAGTAGTTAATTAGGAAACAGATTTACTTAAGTTCATCATTTGTAGTGAGTAGCTTTCCATCTGAATTATTGATTTCCTTTCCACATTTTTTTCTTAGTTTAAAACCTTCAAAATGTAAAATTCACCAGGCTTTTAATTCCTTGTGAACTTTGTCTGCCCTTAGACTAAAGAAATAAAGGAAGAACTTTGCTGCTCTTTTCTGGAAATTAGCTCAAGATGACTGCATTGTTTATAACCTGAAACTGTAATTATTGGCACCAATAGTAAAAAACAGAGGATTTGGAAACAACCCAGAGATACACATCTCACATACTGGTGAAGTTAATGTTGGAACTAAGTGAACACATCACATTTGCTGGTACTGCAGCACCTTCCTCTACAGGGAAGGGGTTTTGCCAGTTCTGCAGAAAGGACCAGAACTGAAACATAAGAAGCCATCTGGTCCAATTTTAGTGCTTCAGACTCTGGAATTTAATTCCTGCTGGTAAAAAAAAAATGCTGGAAACCAGGGTTGAATTTCAGATACGGATGGGTTTGGAACAACATATGTCATCACAAAATTCTGCCTCTAAACTTACGAGATGTAGGTCCTGATTCCCAGTATCTTCTGACATTAACATACAGATACCTTGCACAGCCCTGTGCAAACATTTCTTCTTGTTATTTGTCTTTCAGTTGAATATATCAGATCGTGCTCTGATCCTTTTAGGAGATGCACAAACACACAACGTTTTTGAAGGTGCTCCCAGATCACTGTGGAATATTTGGATCCTCCATTCAGTATTTCCATTACACACACTTAATTTCTCATTCAAATTTCCTCAGCTGTTACTTGTCACAATCATCTGCTGGTTGCCCTGAACTTTGCAGTGCTAATGCATAATTTTACTTCATTGAAATGGGAATAGATGAATGAAGTATTATTAAAAAGAAAATAAGGGTGTTGCTTTGGGATTCGGTTCCTTTTTTGTCATATTAAAATAATGTAATTAGAGGATTTAGATAACTCAGATTCTTGAAGAGTTTTTTGTTATTTGGATCTAATAGTTTTATTTTTATATAAATATAAGTAAATATATAAAAATAGGTAAATATATAAAAACTTGATAAAATAGCTGATATTGTCAAATATTAATGGGGGTTTATTTACTTATTAAAACATTCCCACTTTACACAGATTTGCCATTTTAGCAGGGGTTCCTGTTATTTCAGGACACTTTTCCTTACAACTTACCCTGGGAAGAACATGTCACAGTACAGCCATCTATAGAAGAGAGGAGCACTACAGCAAGAAACCATTTCCAACTTCTCTCCCCAGCTCTGCTATTTTTCCTAGTTCTTAAATTTAGAAGAAAAGTGCCTTTTCTTTCCGCTTGGTGTGTGACTAAGGAGGCTGATGACAGATTCCTGCCCGCCTCCCCTTCGTGCTGCACCTGGTGAGCAGGACAGGTACAGCCTCTCCTCTCCACAACAGAAAATCATCTGTGTTTGTACAGCTGCCTAAAACTCAGGGCAGCTTTAGTGCCCAGGGAGTTGAAACACGTTGACCTAATTTTTTTGTCACCTAGATATTGGCAGGTGATGATTCTCAGCTGTTTTCAGCAATGTTCTGTGACCTATGAGTAATTCCTTTGACAACACAGACTAAACCAGACTTGCCATTTAATCAGGGATAGGTCAGTGTTTAACCACTTGATTGTTTTTCTGGAAATGTGATGTGTGTATCCTGAACCCTACAATGAGCTTGTCAGTGAGCAAGAGGGAAGAACAGACACTAAGAAAAGGTCATGAGAAAGCAGACTTTGTTGTTGCTGTACCACAAGAAAGATAATCAGGACTGTCTCAAACTTCATTAGCTTGAAAACTAATCTCTGACTCAATTAAATTTAATTTTAAAATCCCATGTTTAAAACATCCCTGGAAATGAATGCATAGTTATAAAAGAAACTGATACAAGTGAGCACAGAGAAAATAAGCTAAAATTTCACAGAGCCATTGCCTTTTGAGGTATTATAGCACTGATCCAACTGTCTTCTGGGATTGTCTTGGGAAGTTTCTGCTGCACTGGATAGTCCAGGCTGTCCTTGCTGAGCTGCCATCCTTCTGGATGCATGCATTTGAAATCATAATAATGATCATGTGGATACCTTCTAATTTGACTGTAATTTAAACACTGCTTTCTCAGCTCCCTGCTCCTAATTGCAGCTCATTGAGGCAGCCAGCCATACTCACCATGCAGACTGGAATAACTGCCTGCTACCAAACAAATGGAAATTAGGAACTGAAACAACTGCTTTGCTGTGCTTTGCAGAATGAGCTCTACAGGTAATGGATCACATTCAAGTGGTAGAAGTCTTTGGGTTATTTTGCATTTTTATCTCCCCTGTGGGTACAGTAGAACTTTACAAAAGAAACCAGGCCATGTTTAAAAGAGCTTCGTGGCCCACACGACACTTTAGTGAACTCAGTTTGCAGGTCAGGGAAGGAGCCTGGAAACCACAAGTCTGTGCTCTGATCAGGTTCTTTTTCACAGCACTGGCATCATTGCTGATAGCTGCTCACTTCTGTTGTGTTAGTATTTTTGGCTCTTTGCCTCTGAGATTCCAGTGAGATTAGCAGCATGGAGATGGTGATTACTGCCACAGAATAGCAAGAAAGTCACTTTAAAACATGAAAGGAAAGAAGGGATCCTTTGGAAATCCATGGCAAAGACAGGACTTGGGTTTGTATATTCCTGTAGCCAGGAGGATCCATCACAGCCCTTCTTGACAGAGCCATAGGAAAGTGAAATGTCTCCTAGCTGGGAAGCAGACACATTTCCTCCCTCACCCCTGAAACAGCGGCTTGCCTGCTATTCTCTAAAACACACTATTGGTGTTGAAACGAGCCCTGTAATTCCTTTCTCTTGGCGGTAATGACATTATTAGCATGACATTGTAGAGCACAGTTCACTCTGGGTAGGCACTGCAAGCATAGCTGGAGGAGTGCTGGGTGGAATATAAAATTTATGTAGGGGAGAAAACTAAGAGCAGGGTAACTGCTTGCTCTGTAGTAGCCAGCAACTGCCAAACTGAGGGTACTCATAACAAGTACCACACTTTTTGGATAAAGGCCAACATTTTAGCAATAGTTTATGCCATTGATTTTTTTAGTTCCTACTATTTACTAGTTTTCTAATGAGTCTAGCACTTTTTTTGTTTGCTTTTTAATGGAGATGCAGGTGTACTGAGAGGATGATGGATAGAGTTTAAAGCTGCTGAAACTCACATTATGGCTTTTGAGTTTCATTTCCAGCTCCGTAACTGACTTACTGTATTTTAATTTCCTGTCCATAAACTGTGGCTGAAGTTCACAGTACTGTTCTCAGAGAGGCTGTAAAGGTGGATTATTTTGCATTTTAAATTTTAACTATGAGATTTATTGATAGAAGCCCTTCAGATCTATAAAGTAATGCAACAAAATTAATGCAATCTATGTAATAATTGAAGTAAGTGCACATTTGTTGAAGTGAATCTACATCAGATTAGCTTTGCTGAAATGTGGCTGAATAGATAAATTAGCACTCAAATATTCTGAACATGCTGTGGAAGCAGGTAATTTTTTAGAATTAAAGGCCATGGTCAATTTCTTCTCCAGAATCACCAAACTTCAGTCTCAAGTCATCAGTTTAGGTAATCCCGTTTCTAATTAGCCATGAGTTAATAGGCTATTGGATGTTTCTGTATCTAAGAACTATGAATTTGACAACAATGCAGCAGCTATTGTTCTCTAAAATACTGCTGAGTAAGCACAAAGAGAGGCTCTAGAGTTGAAAAAAGGAAAATGCAAGCAGTGACCCAGAGAAATACCAAACTGGGAGCACTCCCACATTGAAATTAGGCTGAGAGCTGCTTTGCCTACCTTTCGATAATCACAAATGTGGAAGAGGTCAGTAAAAATTTGCCTCCTTGTATCATGTTTTGTTGCTTCTTGGAAGTCCTCAAAACACTTGAGGAGATATTCCATGATTTCCTGGAACTTGTCACTTGAAACATATTCAATGTAGGAAAGGACAAGCTATGGAGAGAAAGCAGCATGGTTAGCTTTCTTCAAGCATTTTCACCTTTAGTTGAACTCCTAAAAACCTATTACATGCAATCAAATATTTAGGAATTTGTAATTTAATCTGCCAACACAATACAGACTTGGTGTCTACTTCATTCTCCCCTTCATAAGGAACAATATTCTCCAAACAAGCCTGGAGCACTGCAGAAATGTATCCTGAACAGTTCCTTTCCTGGGCCAGAGGTCACTTACCAAGCTCAAGCAGAGATTCTGGATCACATCTTTCTTATGAATTGTGGCTTAAGCTCGATTTTCTTGTGGAGGCTTTAAGTTCTTCATGGTTTTCTGCAGCATTTAGTATTCTTGACTTCACTCCCAAGGAGGCATTTTGAGCCATTACATTCTGCAGGAGTGACAGTCACTCAACTCTCAAATGCCACAAAAGGAGCATTGCCTGCAATTTCAGTGTTTAGAGGAGCAGTTGGATACAATAAAAAAATGGAAGATCCTTTTGAAAATGAGCCTGCTGTCACCCCAGTCCTCTGACACTGGGAATACTACTGACTTGAGATTGATTTTATGTTCCAGCCTTGGAGACACTTTAACACTTTGGATTTATAGCCATGTGGCTTTTATGAGCAAAAGCAATATGGTTCTAAAAATGTGGTGTGCATGATATAAATAATAATGGCCATCAGAACAAACCACAATCCCAGAGCCTGGACTGAAGGTTTCTGGAGCCAGCCACACTAACAGGGAGCCCATACAGTTAAAAGGAGGAATTTCCAAAGCACAGAAGGTTTCCCATTATCCCACTTTGAGAGTGTGGATACCTGACATAAGTGCTAAAGTATCTTGGACTTGCTGAAATCCCACACAGGCAGCTGAAATATTAATATATGTTACTATTATTCATGTCTTTATTGCATAATTTCCAAATATATGGGACAAGTGGAAAAGAGAGGAAGAGCAGAAAAAAAGCAATGGCCTGAGGGGTGGCTGGTAGGAAAGAAGAGCTCCTAATGTTATGTGGGTTTTTCCTTCATTTCAGCATGAAAACGGTATGTAAGTTGGAGAGAAGGTGGCACATCTAGGGCTATGGGTATCCACCAGCTTCTTGGGGTTATTAGAACCCAGAGCCCTGTGACAGAGGAACCTTAAAGGTGTGGCTGTTGGGATAAGGAGGTTGGACAAGCAGTTTGTTATTTTGGATGTCACCTTGATGCACTAATACTGCTGTCTAACAGCTTCACAGGACACTCTTTACAAGCACCATGTGGGCAGGAGGCACCATCACAGGCTTAAGCCTTTCTTAGCTGATATGCAAATTACTGTACACATAATTAACATACATTTATTTGTTATTAACTGAGAGATTTTGACACCTCTCCAAAGAAAGCTGGCATGCCTCCTTCTTGATGCCCAGAGACCTTAGTGTAGTTTGTGGACACATTAGCACCAAAAACATTGGATCTTTTCTTCTTGTTGTTCTACTGATCTCACTAGAAATGGAGGAAGCCATATGCAATCATGGAAAATCATCTAACCTTTAAAGCCTGGTTCTGATCCTGCAAAGGCAATATGAGCATTTCCCTTGGTGTCCATAGCTTTGTGCCAGACTGTTGGGAGCTCTGTATGTGAGAGCACAAAGCTTGTGAAATAAACTATTAAGGGCTGGTCTCTGGGATTTAAATGCTTTTCATATAAAAGACCCCACTAGGTTGCCACGAAGCATGTAAAAATACAGCATCCACTGGTCTGCATTTTTGGAAAAAAAACCACCCCAAACACAAAAAACAATGATGTGTGAGGTCTCTCTCTACTTACTTTCTAACAGGCTTTAAGTAACACAAAGCTGCACTCAATTCAAGGAAGAAAAAAAAGTGCTATTTAATTTTAGGGTCCACTAAAAGCAATGCTTTCCACATAGAAAAGGGCCGTGACCAGCATGGAGGAAGATGATCTCTTTCTGGGTTTGGTGGATGATGGAAAGGGGTGAACAAAGGTAAATTATAGCTGAGAATTAGAAGAAGCCCTGTCCTGATGATAAAACAGTTCCCAAGGGAAGTGATGAAAGCCTCATCATTTGTTTCAATTAAAACTGGACTGGAAAAAGCATCGGAGAATATGTTCTGAGAGAACATTCCTGGCAAATCAGAAAGCCTGGCAATCCATGTCTTTTGTGCTTCTGATCTCTGTTGTCATATTTTTAATTGAGTTAAAATAAAGAGTACACAAAGTATATTTTAAAGAGTTTTCTAATGCTAATGGAGCATGAATTCATTCAGTGATTATATATATGTATCATAGGGGTTATGGACTGATGCTTCATTGCAGTAACAAAAGCAATTCTCTGGGCTCTCATTATCCACAATAGTCTTCGTAATTAGATGCAATAATTCTGAGGTTAAATTCAAAAATATCTCATTTCATGCTTAAAAAAACCTTCAACAAGTTACCATAAAAATGCATCTCTGTGCAAAATACCAAACATGTGAGTCTTCTGAGAGGGAAAAAAGCACAAAAAATCACACGTGGTTGCTTGGAATTAGTCTCTGCACAGCTGCTTTATACTCTGGTTTTAATTATTATAACAGTATTATAACACTAGCACTGCTGCAATGAGGGTCTGCCATTATTCCTATTCTAAACACTCCTTTTCACAGGTTTAATTACCCAGCCATAAAATCTAGCTCTGTCACAGGTAGAAATTGCTGGTAAAGCCTTGGCCTGGACAGCTTTCAATAAATATAGTTTGAACCAGATTGGTTGTTTTCAGCTTGAGGAACAGCAGAGTAATGGGGTGAAACTTCCAAGTACATTTATGATTTTGATGAGTTAAACCCATGCTTCTTATGCTTCCCAATGGCAACTTTTGAGTTTAAAACTATTTGGTAATGCTTCATTAATATTTATGAGGCTTGTTGCAGTTTGTTTATGGTTCAGACCAGCGATAGTTCACTTCTCATCCCAGGTCTTCATGATGTGGTTCATCCTGGTTAATGGAACTTAGTGAGAAATAACAATACTGTGAGGATGTTACTAATTACCCTAGGCTAAAGTTGGTAGTGGGACACCAAACCTCCTGTGAGCAGCCGAGCAAAGTCTGAATTCACAAGTGATTCAGGGCTTTCTTAACATTCTAGAAAGGGACAGGGAGGGGTGTCCTAAAAACCACTACTCCAGGAGTAACTTCCCAAAGAGCAGCACAGGCTGCAGCTCTGAGGAAAGCAAAACAGCTAGCCAGAATGAAAGTGTTGTGAGAGCAAAGGATGGAGATGGAATATGAAATGTCCAAATACAGCCAGTTACCCTGGATGCTGGAGAAGGGAAGCCCTTGACTTACTCCTCTGGGCTGTCCCCAGAGAAATGCTGACACTTTGTGATAAACCTCACATTCTGAACCAAATGCTCTTATTGAATTTCTCACCTTTGTGAACTCATTTAGCCTTACTGTTTTTTCCGACATGTTTAAGATTTTCAGCATCCTGTCATGGGTTGCTGGTAAAAAAATGAAGAGATATTGGTTTAGAAAGCAACAGTTGTGATTTTGCATATTGTATACATATTATCACACATTATGCTGTTACATTAACTTTCTTCCCATGTTGGATGACATTTATTTGAGGTTATCCCACAGTAGCTGAAGCTATCTGACTGTACTGAGACCATCTAACCATCTAAATCCTCTTGTATTTCTCTTGCTCAGAATCTCCATTTAGCTATTCAGAACTGTGGAATCATATTTATTCTTGACATAAGTTGGTGCAAATTGTGATGATTTTAACAGTACTTACAACTAATTATGTGAGGGAGGAAATTATTTTTGATTTAACAAACAGATAAAACTGCCTTAGAACTCTGGAGACATGGATTCTGCTTGGAAGAGAGGAATCTGAAAATCATAGTAATTTTCTCAAGAATATGGGAACATTTTTACTGATGATCATATTCAAAAGTATGTTTTGGTCAGTTTCTGTGCTGCTATAATGGAACTGAGAAGATACATCAAACATCTATATAGGTTTCTGAATGAGTTCTTTGAGAACAGACATACTATTTCTGTTGGCATTCTTTTTCTGTTCTTTCTTCTAAGTATATCAGGAGTAATGAGAAAATTCATCATAGAATGCATTTATCTCTTGTTGGTTAATATGTTCCTAAACTGTACATTATCTTTATTAAACTATAAAACAGAGTGTAGTGTTCTGTTAATGTACATTAAATACCATTAAGTGAAATAAAGAAATGGAGCCTATTAGGGAAATAGTACAGAGAGCACTCCCAGCATCTAGAGAGCAAATATCTGGGCAGGAAATTCCTTCACAATCTCATGTTCCAAGGTCTGTTTGCAGTGGGGAACCACAGCTCCACAACAGGAGCACAGGGGATGTGTTTGGCAGTCACACAATGTCCTGCCAATAATAGATGATTACTCAGAGGAACAATTCTGTAATTCAGACAGTGCTGACAACCTCCAGGCAGAGGTGACTCCAGCAGCCACAGAAACACTCTCTGGAGTGCCCTTTTTATCATCCCAAATCAGCAAAGACACATTTGTTATCATTGATGATCATTATGGGCTCTTGATGTAAAGGGCTGGCAGCAGGCTGGTGTTGCCACTTCAGTGTTCCTGATTCTATTCAATTATCATCATCTGGGGAGGTCAAGTGTAAGCTATATAAAGTGGACAGGAATTATGGAAATCTTTTGAGCTGAGTGCTCTGGTACAGAGGCCCTGGGCTGTGTGTCAGTGGATGTCTGGGACTGGCCAAGGGAATGGCTTGATGAGATGAGCTATTGGGTGGAGCATTAGGTAAACCTCAGCAATGCCCCTGAAACCATAACAGGTAACAACACTGTCAGACTTTAATTTTGTTGATCCCACCTTTGTTCCTTATCACCCAGTATGCCAGTATTTCCAAGACCTCCCATGAGACAAACAGAAAAAGGAGGAGGTTGGTACAGTGAGTCTTAAAAACAGCAATAAGCACATGGCAATGTCTGGCTAATAAGGAGGGCAAGTGGAAAAGGTCTGTATCTGGTCTTTCTATCACCCTGAAAGATTTTTTAAACATTTTTTCCATACTTTTCAAGAGCATATGAATGAATTACATGGTGGTTCAGTCTCTTTCCAATCTATCTGAAGATTTGTGGCTCATATCCTGGTGTAACTACTCTTAGAGATTCTTTCTCTGTTATCGAATCCATTTGCTGTTTTCTCACAGTTCACATAATTCAGATCACAGCAGTTAAACTAAGGAAGACACATTGAAAACTTGCCTTTTCTCATATCTTCAGGAATAACATCAGTGACATCTGGAAAAAACCTCATGACACTCTGAACCTATGAATCAAGATAATAGTCAAAGGCCTGTGTCATGCAGACAACAGCAGATAATTCTTAAAATAAATCACCCAGAATAATCAGAAATATGGGCCAGCCATGGGTCTAACACACAGGTAAGATATGTGGACAATGCCCTGTCCCCTGATCCTGTGGTGGCAGAGCCACCACCCATCCTTGTGCCCCTTGCTGCCATGCCAGGGCACATGGCACTAGCACAAATGTCCCTTTCATCCTGTCTGCAACAGCAGGATCTCCCCTAGTTACCAGTGCTGCTGGGATTCTGTCTCTGCCATCCACTATCCACTCCTTGAACAGATCTGTCAACACCTCCTTTCTCCTTGCTGTCTCCTCAGCTCTCTGTCTTTCCATCTCCTCCCTTTCCTCACGTCTGTTCTTTGCCTCAGCCCTCATCTGGGCCAGCCTGTAGGACATGGGAACATGGATTAGAAAGATACCATCGTAGACATACTTAAGACTGATTAAGCCTACCCTAAAGAACAAAACAAAAAGAAGCAACCCTTTGCTGAAATTCCTGTCTATGTGGAAGACATTTAATGGAAAATCATCTGTGCAGCTCTCCTAGATTTTTGTCATTTCAACAGCGACACATTTTACTTTCACATTTATAATGACATTCATCATTTATTGTGTAGATGTCCTTCAATTTCCTTTCAATTCTAGCAGGGAGACAGGTGCATAATTTTGCTACAGTTGATTTACCAACAAAATTGCATCAGTCTTCATTGTCTCCAAACCCAAGTACCTTTTCACACAAGCACTTCACTGGCAAAGAGCAATGTTCAGTGAAATTTCTGAAGCAGCCTCACACAATAGAGCCCTCACTGCCTTAGGACAGGGATAATACCTCAGCCTCTCCATCATTTTGAACACATAGAGCTTGCAGGTTTGGACTGCCAGTCAGCTCCCTTTCTTCATGCTTCTGTTTTCTTTGCTTCTCTAAACACCCAGCCATGTTTTTCCCAATCCTCCATTTCACACAACAAAACAAGTGAATAAAATTGACCCCAAACTCATCTGCTTTGATTTTGACTTTGTTAATTTATGAAATGGGGAAAAAACCCTTTAGGAAGGTCAAAATGCTTAAACCCTTGGTGGAGGCTGCTGGAATCTCTCCACACTGAGGTAGCTGCTCATCTTTGTGGCCTTCACACACTCTGTAGCTACTAAGAGAAAGGGGAATTGCTTCTCTTTTGTACCTGAGAACTCCAAAACCTATATTTTAGCTAATGATTCCTGCTCCCTTCTTCCCTCTGTGTTTCACATGCTCTGAAATGGGCTGATCCTGTCCCTGCTCTCTTCCATTCTTCTGGGGTCATCCTACCCAACAATATAGTCCACCAATATTTTCTTTAATGAACAGAAAAACTTATTTTACATGTCACAGCAATACACTTTGATCACAGTCAGTTTTATCACAAGGTCATTGTTCTTCATGGCCATTTATCACAGAGGTTTCTTAATGAATCATTTGGTTCCTTAATCGATGGTGGGCATTGCACAAGTGCTGCTGAGGCAGCTCAGCCTCAGGCACTTTGATAGCAGGGGAAGGGTAAAATATTTTTCCATCTTCTGCCTCCTTCCCAGAGCCAAAAAGGAGAGAAGGAATGCAGCAGATACCAACCTAAGTGGACAAACAGATTTTTCTCCAATGTATGCTGCAGCAGGAGAAAACCAGACCATTTGTAGAGGTAGCTCCTCTGGAAACTGGAAGCAGAGCCTACTCAGAGCTGCCAAGGTGCTCTGGTGATTAATTTGGGCAGTGTCCAGCACAAGTTACATTCTGTGCTGCACCTGCACTGGGCTGCAGTTTTGCATTCATTTCTAGGGTCCTAAAACTGGGCAGATGCATCCTCTGCCTGGTGTCCCTCAGACAATGATGGCAAAACAGGGATAATGGCACCAGGCACACATTGCAAAGTGAGCTTATTTCAGATCAGACATTTCCAGAAAAGAGGAGATGGCAGCAAGGTGACTTCTCCCTGCAGAACCAAACATGTTTCCTAAGAATAGAGTTGCCTGCCTCCCACACAGGGATGGGTGAGTCAGCCTGAAGGACTCCCATCCCTGGACAAAAGGCTCTGTTTCAGGTATCAGTCCATGTGCATAAGGAATTTCTCCCATCTGTTCTCTTTCCTGCCTTGACTCCCAGTCAGGTAGCAGTTAAAGAGAAACTGGAGAAAGGCCAAGAGAGCTCACTGAGGATAGGTAAGTGTTAGATGGGAACCTGTGATGAATCCTGCCTTGCCTGAAGGTAATGCCAAGGCTCCCAGGACCTCCATTTGAGGCAGAATTTCATTCCTCACCTTTCTGGTGATTAGATGAGAAGTGTTGAGCACAGACTGGCACTGCTCTTGTAACAATTCTGGCCTGTTTGAAATCCAGTGACTCACATGAGGAGTCTCACTGCTGTGTGGTGTTGTTAAAATCCTGCATTGCTGTGATTTAAGAATCCCATGCAAATCCCACAATACAGCCATCACAAATATGTAAATCCTGAGCTGCTGTGAATGCAAATCTCATGATACTACTACCAGTGGATATGCAAAACCTGCTACAGCCGTGATTACATAATCATGGCAATGGCAACCCTGGCAATGCTGTTTTTGCAGATATTTATTTCTGTAAGTCTTGACAGCCACTTCCTTTGACTCAGGTCTGAGAGCTACAAATTGAGAACCTGTCTCCAAATGTAAAAATAGGCTTAACAGCCAAGGTCAAGGTAACAGGTCATGGGTAGCCAACACTTTGCATTCAACAGGAAAATCTTTCTCCAGAAACCAGCTCTGATTCACAATGAAAACCAAGAGTATTTTAGGAGGGGAAAATAAGCCCATAAAAGAGAACCAAACAAAAGCCCAATCCAAAGCCCCAGGAAATTTTATGTATTTTAGTTCAGTTACTTTTTCAACATAAAAGTGAGATATGGTCCTGTATCCAGGTGTCCTTCTGTGAAGCAACAGGAATGATAAAATTGTTCCTAAAGCAAAGTGGCGAGGCTGACATCCTAAGCATCCCCCCAGAACAGCCTGTGCTTGAGTGAAAACTCACTGAAAGACGTATTTCCCCAGCTCATTTGTTTCAGTGGACCAACATGTAAAATATAGAAAATAAAACTGAAATTATTTTATCAGTGATTATGAAATTCACTTCTCACACTGTCTTGTTGTATTCACATCAGGCATGCTTCCTACAAACTGCACCAGTATGTTTAATGGAAATGTAGAAACAGAAGCTCAGATAGAGAGACTTACCATATTCTTTTAAGCATTATAATACTGGCAACTTCAATTATCTTCATTTAGGATTTATGCATAAGACATGTCAACATTTTACTTCCCTAATTCCTGACACTGAAACCAATATTCAAGGTGTAGGAACAATTTATGCAAATACAGAGTCATTCAAACAGAAGGCATTATTCTACAAACACAGATACAGAATAAAGTGATCTAGTAGTGAATAAGTCATTTTAACATTAATCACAGTCACCTCTGGATCATGTATGAACTGAAAAGTTCACATCTATATTTTCCTGAAGACAGCAATGAAAATAAAGCATTATTGTTCATCTAATGTTCTTACATTCTAACCTTAGCGTTTTGTAAGGTGTCATGGAACCCCGTTCCAATATTCATTAAATATTACACTAAAGCAAACAGCCTAGAAATAAGCAAAAGAACAAAAAAAACCCCAGTTTCTACTCTAAAAGGAAAAATAGAATATAAAAGGAAAGCTTAAATAAAAATCCCAGGAGAAGGAGTTTCTACAATATGCCAGGATAATGTTGTTGTCCTGGTCAAGAGAAATCATCCTGAAGGAGGAAAAAAGGTTACGTTTTTATTAAGTTTGGAAGACTACAGGAGAAACTATCTGAAGAGTGTCCAGACCTTTGATGCTAACACCTGTCCCTAATAGCTGCTGTCACTAAGCTAGACTGGTTTGGAAGAAGTTTGCATTGCTCACGTGTAACTAAGAGAGAGTTTAAGGAGGAACTATATCCTTGTGAAGGGCAGAATATTGCCTTAAACAGGAATAACTAGTGTTTCATTCTGTGTGCCATGTTCTGGCATTTGTCCTGCTTCTCAAGTTTTTATGAGACAAATACCATCCCTAGCACTGCACTCCACAAGGTGTGTTTTGCTCAAGATTCTGCCAGCCAGGCTGCAGGGACAACATTCCTTTTGTAAAACAGAGACCAAGACACCAGCTCTGGCCTTGTGACCAGCCACAATGTCAGTGCTCTCACCTCTGTGATGTTGTACCTTGCTTCAAAGATTTGAGCTCCTCCGAGACCACCTTCATTTCTCGTAGGTATGGGCCTGGTTTTGGAGGAACAATATACTGAGGATTATGCCTCATCAGGTATTCTCCAAGATAATTAATGGGGTTAAATCTGGTTGGTTCTTGGTCTGATACAAGCACATGGTTTCTTTCCACTTCCATTAACAAATTTTCTACTCCTGGGATTAATGTAGGGAGGAGGCTGTCGAGCAAATAGATGCGAGTATTGAGTGTCTCCTTCTCCTCATTGTACCACTCTCTGGCCAGCCAGTCCCCGGGTTCTCTCCTCCTCACCTTTGCTTCTTCTGCCTTTTGTGCTTGAACCAACTTCACCTTTGTCTCCTGCAGACTCAGACACCTTTGTTGTTCCTTTTCATGAAAACACTCTTTCCACGAACTGTAGTTACTAGGACGTGGCACTTCATCACGCCCCTGATTGCTTTCCATCTCTGTTGTAGTCCTGTGCTTATGGCCAAGCTCAGGATCTTGTAGATCTGCAGATTGGGCTGATTCTTCTGGCTGAGCAGCTATACCTCCATCACTGTGACACAGAAAAAAAGCAGATGTTATATAATGCCAAAAGATGCAGCAGTGCCCTACCAGGTGACACAGGAATAGAGTCAATTGTTAGGCACTAACTAATATTTTTTCTATGTTCCTTTTTTATTCTGTTACTGCTGCTTTGTACTCTTAAATAAATACAGACCCTTTACTTCAAAGATCAGTAAATCATTTATAAAGATCAATTATGTATCACAACAGCCCTTGGAGACAGAGCAACTAAATAAGTGTGTTCCTTTCTTAGGGCAGAAGAAACTGAGACACAAAAGGGGAATGATTAATTCCTGGTCACTTAGAGACTCAAAAACCAACCAGTGAACAGTTCCCACCAGCAGAATCCTCTTACCCCCAGCACATTATTTCTGTTCAGGTCCATTCCCTGCCTCCAGGAAATCCAGTGAATATGAGACAAAGGAAGCAAGTAATGGAAAATTCCAGATACCCAGGGGCAAGATTCCTCTACATGCCTCCTCTGCATCAGCTTTTCTGAGGCTGTGAAGAATAGTGAGGAAGCTTGTCCCACAAACAACTTTAACTGTGGCAACTCTTTCTTGCTCTGGACATTTTGTTAAGGTAACAAGAACACATGTGCATGGGTCAGCAGAGCTTCCACAGAAAGGAGAAACCTATACCATGAATTCTATAATTAAGTTGTTCACAAGCACTTTATGTTGTAGATCACTCTGTAAAAGAAGAATTCCTTTACAATCTCAACCTTCAGTGCTCAAAATGTTAATTCTGTGAAATACCAGGAAAAAACTGAGCTGCTTGCAAGGCACAATTTGAAAAATGTTTCTATATGTCTCCATGCATTTACACACACAGAATAGAGCAGAAACCTGGCTACTACATGATTCAAAGCATGAAAAATCAGCAGTATGCTGCAAATCCCCAGGTCAGGATTAAACACAACAGCAAAAGAAAGGTGATATTAAAAAACAATCTAACACCATTCCAAATTAGAAATGGAACTCCACTCTGAATTTGTTGCCACACTACCCTCTTCAAGTTTTTATTTAAAAAAGTTCTTTTCACCAAGGTCTTTCAGTTTTCATAGCAGATCCAGATCCAGAGCTTTCGATATGTAGTGCTCTTCCTGTTTAAGCATTTGTAGCTGTTCTGAAGTTGTTCAGCCTTCTAGGAAATGCATAACTGTGATCTACAGCCCTCCTGGCACACAAATTTAATTATGAATGTGTTGACCTTCTCGTTCATTAACACTGTTGGAGTACAAATACTGCCTGGATGGGTGGGATGCTTCATAGCATTAAATTTCTGTTTTCTCAGTGGGCTTGTTGGCATCTTCCAGTAAATTTTTTCCAAAGGTCCATTCCTGCTGGGAATGGGATAGACTTCTGGCTCAAGCTGTATATCTCACCCACAAAGAGGGTTTTAGGCTGGTAGTTGGTTTTGCTACCAAAGGACATGAGCTGGAAAGGGGTCTGGATTTACAGTGGTAGAAAGGGGAACCTGTCCACCCTGTGGAATTGTTCCTTGCTTAGGTGAGTTCCTTTCAATAAGCTGTAAAACCAGACTCCTTGGTTCAGAGCAGGGTGTTAACCAAATGTTCTGGTCACATTCCAAATCAGCTGGTTTTGTTGTGCCAAAATAAACTGTTCTTGTAGTTTCAAATACTTCTGTTATTTTTAAAACATCCTTTATGAAACCCTCTGCAGTTTCTGTGCAATGCTAAAGTGACAACTTCACTCCGCTTTATGAGGTGGCTGATTCTGAAAGATGATGGATATGTTTTCCACACTGCTCTCAGTCTTTTGTTAGGATTGTTTTGAGGATTAGTAAATGTTTTTAAAGGATCTCCATGTCTCTGACCAAAACAAAACATGAAACAACCAGTGTGACTGTTTTTTCTCAATTCCACAGCATCCACGTAACTCCAGGAATGGAAGCAGAGCATGGAGAACTGTGCCCAGTGCTTTAATGCAGTACAGATGAAGAAGACTAAGAGGGTATGGAAGAACAAAGAAAAAAATAAACAACACAGGAATGCTACAATCAGGACATGAAACTTGGGATTTGTGGAGGATTACAGAGACACACAATGGATAAGACTCCATTGGCTCATAACCTTCAGTGCTGATTTTCATTAGTTGAGAATTTGGCCCATAAGGAAGAATTTCTCCACTGAAAGGGTGGTGAGGCATTGGAAGGGGAGCAGCCATCATCCCTGGGAGTGCTCAAGAAACAACTGGACGTGACACTCAGTGCCATGGTCATATTAACAATGTGATGTTCAGTCAAATGTTGGATTTGATGATCTTGGAGGTCTTTTCCAAACTTAATGATTCTATGAGTCTATGATTTTACAATAATATTGAGAGCTCTCAGGGCCCATGGCATTCCCAAAGGGAGGCCAAATAACAGCAAGCATGGAGCACAGAAGCAAGCTCTAGAAACACCCAGGAAATTTGAAGTGTGATATAAAGTTTCCTGTAAGCCTTTGTTCAAGCTAAAGGCAAGATAAGCTTTCCATTATTTAGTAGGATGCCATTTCCCTGGCTCCTTTTCTGTGAGAAAAATATTCTTGCTGGAATCCCTGCAGGTACAAAAAGATTATCCCTGTGTTTTCTGTACAAAACCCAAATCTGCTCATAAACAATATTCTTATGGTTTCACTGTTACTCTGTTAGAGAATTTTGATGGGCGGGATAAAGCCAGGAAAGACTAAAGTTTGTTTAGGTAAATATTTTCAAGATGTTTGAGTTATAAAAGCATTTTCAAAAACAAAGCCAAATCTCTTTGACATTCTATTGCTCAGAAATAATTTTGCCTTTCCCTCATGTGTTTAAGAGAGCATATTTATCTCATCACAAAAAGCCCAATACCCTTTTAATACATGATCTTTCCAATACAATTAAAATTTTAAAATGTTTTCTCCTTTGCTTTTTGAAGCTTTGAAGAACTGTTTTTCTTACCTTTGGAGCAGGTATCAAAATAGATCTTATTCCTCCTGCATTCAAAGTGGCTTTGCAAATCAACAGGGATTTAATATATGCCCATCTGTTCTCAACCATTAAAAATCTTGAAGTGAATCAGGGATTTCTCAGACCTGCTGTGGAGCTGGGCTGTGAGTTTTACTCCTCTGTGTGTTTGCAGTTGCTAAGCAATAATCCCAAAGGTTGCTATATCTTTCCACGATCAGAATTGCTGTAGGTTGTCTTTTGGCTTTGGCACAGCCCAACAGACTCTTCTGTACTGAACTTAGAACATTGCATCACATGACTGAAAATAAAATAAAATCAAAAAAGGACTATGAATAGCAACAGAGAACATTAAGAGAAAAAAACAGAGAGAGAATCCACAGGTGCCACTGACAGTTTACCTTCAGATTCAAGGTTCACAAACTCCGTAACTGTCTCAAATCCATTACCAGCTGAAGGGAGGATGTGTAAACCAAATGTGAGAATCTTAGACATAAAAAGAAATTAATTACAAACTCAATTTAAACATTTCCAGGCTTTCTTTATTGTGTTGCTTTGAAGCAGTCTTGCAGGAAAGGCACACAAGCACTAACGAGAGGGGAGTGCACGGTGCCATTTTCTCAGATTGCTTTTAAACCTGAATCTAAAGGAATTTGATGAATCTCCTTTCATAATCTCTCCAATATTCTTTAAAGAATAATATGACAGGAAAAGGAGAAGGCAAAAGACAAGCACATCTACAACAGGCATTCTGCACCCACTTACACGAATGTAAATCAGATGCCTGTTCAGCAATTCCCTTGGGTTAGGCACGACTTCCAACTGAGAAACTTACAGCAATTTCTGCCAGGAAATGAGGTTTATCCAATGATGTTTCTCTCTTTGTATTTTATACTGGAAGTGCCAAAACCTTTGGATTGCCTACCTGCAGGGAAACTGAACTGTTACTTTATCTGTGGTATTTGTCATTGGAACAGCTGCAAGGTGCTCTGCCCTCTATTAGTCTCCATTTCATGGAATAGCCTGTAAGAAACCTTGAAATAGAGGAGGTCAACTTTCATGTGAAAAATACACTGTAATAAATTATCATTTCTTTGCTATTTATTTGGAGAAACATATCAGAAGGAAATATACTCATTGCAGTGTATTTCCAAGATGTGTTGAAGTCTAGCATCAATTATGTTAACAAAATGAAGCAGAAAATTAGTGTACAGAAGTAATTTAAAATGAGGCTTTAAACTGGATTGTGCACTTTTTCCTCAAAGCAGTTTGCACATGATTAATTCCTGTTATCTCTTCTCCCAGGTGGGCTTGGTTTTTCCCCTTTGCAATTCAGAATTCTGTTGCTATTACAATTAACTTACAAAACTTTTTGAGACCGAAACATAAATTTAAAAAAACAAAAGGTGATTTTTTTTTTCAACCCCCAAACAAGAATATACAACTAGAACTTAGAAGGATGGATCAAAACAGCTCTACTTTTATTTTTCTGGAAGTGGAATCCCGTGGGTTAAGCAAGCCTTTAATTGTACCCTATCTAACTTGGCTGTTATCCCTTAATGTTTTTGCTAAGCAAAGTATATCCTTTTATTATGCCACCAAATACTTGCACTGTTGACAAAACAATGGGCTGAATATGTCATCACAGATGTTTTGCTGGAATTGCCTCTTCTATATTTTTTTTCTTTTTCTGTGTAAGGTACATTTTGGGAGCACTCTGTTTGCTTTCGCAACTGATACCAAGATTATGCAATAAAAGCCCTAACATGTAGTAATAATAAGTTGTGTTAGCCAGGGAAATGTTTGCAGTGTGTTAAATAGTCAGTTTTGGAAATGTGTACAAAACCAGCTCATGTACAGCTCTTCTTTTAAATGCTACTCTGGGCTGAAGCAGCAGGTGGTGACCACAGTGCTTCCAGCACAGGAAAGAATAAGGCCACAGACTTCCAGTCTGTTTTCTGTACCAACACTGATGCTGTGACCACAGCCTGCCCTCTAATTGCTCTTTTCAATCCCAATACATCTGCCTTATAGCTTCCTCCTCCACATTTAAATTCTGCTGCTAAAAAACACTTCACATGCAAATTACACCTTTCTAGAGGCTGGAGGACTATCACAATTTGTGATTGTTGTAGCTAATAACTGATATGTTGGACTTCTAGTGAACTGTAGATAGCAACTCCATTGTTTACCTGTGGTAAATGTTTTGTAAAAGAGTTTGCTGTTCAAATACCTGGAAGTTCTACAGAGTATATGAAAATTACACAAGTCTACTTTGGAACATGGTTTAAATAATCATATCTTGACAGTAATCCTTGCATGATTCCATCAAAATCCAGAACGAAACAGCAGTCTCAGGTGAGGGAACTGCTACACTACTCAGGGAACTTTAGTCTTCTGTCAATCCTCTCTGTCAATGCAGACATACCTGAACATGAGCTATGGACCTGAAAGCAGCCCTATACTTGCATGTTCAAGACCCTGGCTTGCTGTGCAGCCCACTCTGTGAACTGTTTAGTCCAGTTTAGGGAGCCTGTCCTCCATTCTCACCTGTCCACCAGGAGGCAAAATGCCCCAGTTTTGCAAGTCTGACTTCTCCATCGTAGCCAAGTCCAGCTACAGGAGACTCCCGAATCATTATTTCAACTGAGGAATAACCTAAAGAGAAACTATGTGTCTTCTCCAGTTCTTAAATTTACAAGGGAAAAAGTGCTGTCAATCTGAGGAACAGATTGAAGCAGCATCAGCCATGTACTTAAATGGAATCTATGGGTTGATACACACTCCAGACAAAGAGTTTGTTCTACTTAATGTTTAGAACAGTTTCTGGTTATCATATGTAATGTTGTCATTCCATACCCAAGACAATTCTCGATTCCAGTCACCTCTTTCCCATGAATTTTGTAGATTCTTGATCCAAATTACCTCCTTCCCATTAATTTGGTGGCACCAGGCTGAAATTGAAAAGCAAATAAATTTAATAGCACTTGACCCTTTGTTTCAGACCCCCAAACACCAAACAGGTCTGCATCTGGGAATGTTTGAATGCTTAAGATGCAATCATTAGATCTGGTTTTTGGTGCTTGGACGTGTGCATTGCTGTACAAAGAGGTGCTATACGCTTCTCTCATTATGGAGTTACTATTGCTGCCTAATCCAAGGAAAAGCTATGTTACGTGACTATTAATGGCAACTTTCACCATTTGGCAACTTTTTCACCAGTGGTTGCCATACCCACTATCCCAGTGGGATGGGATTCCACAAACCATCACCAGGCAGGAGGCACATGGAGGATGCCCTGCTGACATACATTAATAAAAGCCGTCTGTGAGGCTGAGGGACCCGGGGGGGGGACGCCGAAACCCCTTCAGTAACCGGGGAGAGAATGCTGGGGTACTCCAGGTCCCTCAGGGCTGCCCACCGCAGCCCCCTCAGGGACCGGGGTGGAGATGCCGGGACCCTCCTGCCCATTGCAGTTTCCTTAGGGACCGGGGAGGGGATGCTTGGGCCCCGCTGCCCATCCCAGCCCTCTCACAGACCGGGGTGAGGATGTCGAGCCCCCCAGCCCACCCCAGCCCTCTCACGGACGGGGGTGAGGATGTCGAGGCCCCCAGCCTATCGCGACCCCCTCAGGGACCGAGACCGGGGGATTCCGGGACCCCTCAGGAGCCGCCGGCG